TCTTGTGGATAGCAAAAAGGGGGGACAGAGTGAGAGAGCAGTAAGTGGGAGCTAAGCTTGGCTGAAATGGAAATGTGCAGTTGAATACAAGTAGAAGTAGTTAAAGAATTTCAGAGGAAGGTAAATACTCTATAGGCTCTGTATAGTGATGTTTTAGTAAACTGTATTTTTGGTAAGAATTGTCAAAAACCAGTGAGAGAATTCAGTTGGAAATATGAGCAGCTTCATGCTTAATGAAGAAGAAATTGGCTAAATGAACTTTTTTTTCCAGTAACTGATTTGAAGCAGCAGTGTGCTGCTGTCTTCCCTTTCCTCTTTCCAACCACAGCAGACAGCAGGGCATGGTGCCGACGTGTGCCCTGCTATGGAGTTTGCTTGGCTCTGGAAGGAGAGCAATGCATCCAGACTTCAGGGGCTGCACAACCTAATTGTCTGGCTCTGATCCAGCTGGTGATTGACCCAATAAACTCTAATGAATCTGGATTCCTGCAGTCTGATTTGCTTCCTCTCCCCTATGTGCCTTTCTCAGTCCATGAAGAGCTGAAACCTGAGTGCTGGCTTTGACAAAAGGAGTGAGAGCGGGGGAAGCAGAGGAAGAAAAGGCAGATAACAGCCGAATGTAATCAGTGTTTTATTACCATCCTCAGGAAGTGGGAATGGCTTTAAAAAAAAAAAAAAAGTAGTAGGTTGGAGCAAGGAAAGTTAGTTACGGTGAGGTTATTTGACAGGAAATTACAAAATACAAACAGACAGAAGAAACACATTTTAAAACAGGGTAGGAAATCTCAAGTTACTACACTCTGTATGTTCAAAACCCTCAAAGCAAAGGCTGAAAATAGCAGTTTAAACAAAAGCTATCTTATCTGATAAAGGCATTTCAAGCACAAAAGGAAATTTATATATTGGGTTGACAGTCTTAAAATAAACTGATTTGCTTGATAACACCATAGATTTAATTGTGGGAATTGGGTTCATTTGTATGACCAGCAGACACAGTAAATTCCCATGTAAATTCATTCTTTTTCTTTCTTTGTACATTTCTTGTCTCCCAAGCAGTGTTTATCAGTGTTTTCCAGAAATTGTAAAGGTAGATTTATGCATGTAGGACGAGACTGATAAATATGTGCATAATTTAAAGAATTTCTTGCAGACTAGATATGATTCATTTCCTGTGCTACCGGATGGAAGCATATTAATGATACTTCAGCAAGTAGCATTCAGATTCAGAAAGATTTTAGCAGAAATACATTGTTTTGGAATGAGGGTAGAATTTCCAGTACTAGTAATCAGAATTATTATTTTATTTATTTAATTGTTAGTAGATTTGTGATAAACTTTTGTATACTTGGTGTGTCTTCACTTTCTGTGTAGAAAGGAAACCATTCTGTTAGTGCATCACCTTAAATCTGCTGAGATTTTGAATAAACATTACATATTTATAGATATGTGTCCTTCTAGTGAGATAGGATATGTGTTATAGGGTTGAAGCAAATTGATTTGCCATGAGGAAGGGAGCAAGGAGGAGGAGGGGAGGAAATAACTCAGTTGTGCAAATGATAGATTATCAGAATTCAGATCAAAGAATGCTGTGAGACAAAATATTTCTCTTGCTTTTGACTGAAGCTGTAAGAAGAAGCATTAAGAGGTTTATAGATACACCTATCTGACTGGTGTGACTTGGAACTTTGTGTTCCCCCCAGCTCCTTGGTCCTCAGGCTGCCTATCTATCAGTGTATTACAGTGCATGAGGTACATCTGCAACTCGGTGCCTCGCTGTACCTGCTCAGTCCTGGGAGACGTGTAAGTTTGGGGGTTTTTTTCCAATGAATTTGTCTGCTGTGCCTGTAACTCCGTATTGCAGACACTGCTGAGCTTTCATAATCAATGAACACAGCAAAATAAAGTCTGGTAGGAGGGCACTTGCTTACTGAGTTATGTTGGAAGGTAGTGGTAGATAATGGTTGAAGCGTACCATGGTTCCTTATGGCTAAGTTAGGTAAGTGGAAGTTTTTGTCTGCACTCAAATCTTTCCTTTTTATAGGTGATCCAGATATGCATGGTGATCTCTTAGGGACCAGAGTGCTCAGAATTATCCGACCTCATGAAGTTCAGAGAGTATCACTGAAGTAGAGCACAAAGATGAGTTTACATCAGCTTGTATTGAGGAACACAAGACTACAAGGTCCAGTAGTGTCCTATTACTGGAAAATCTTGCTGGGGTCCTGTAAAACTCTCAAGATCTGATGGGACCATAAAGGTTTTTGCTCTGCTTAACAAAGAAATATCAGTTGTCAACTGGCCATGAGGATTGGCTTGCAGTATAAATATTCTGAACTTGTGATCATTGGGGTTTGCACTCAAAATAAATAGAAGTGACACCTGTGCAGGAAAGAAGTTGATCTTTTTTTCTCTTGATTTCTGTCTTATTTAAATGACCTCTTACTTTAGCAGGATTTCATAAATCAACTGGGGGACTTCACAAGAGAAAGTTGTAGGAGGAAACTAGCTTCCTCCTTTAAAAGGGGTAAGTGTTGATGTCCTTATGAATCACTACTCTAAAACAGTGAATCTTGAAAAAAATAGAGAGAGAGAGAGAGGAAGAAGAAAGAAAATGAAAGGGAATCAAATAAGAAACAGAACTAAAATACCTTTCCTAAATCCATGTATTGAGTCTGTGAAAAAACAGGGAATAGACTAATTCTTAATTGACTCATTTTTCATTCTTAGGTTTTAGTTTTTTTTTTTTTAAATAAAAATTTTCTGAAACCCTCTACAGTTACTCCCTGATACAATTCTGAAATGTAGATGTTGTCCTATTGTAAAAGGAGATCAATAAAATGTAGTGTCCTATAGTTAGCTCTCCAGAATGCTACCTCAAATATTGGAAATTTCTGGTTTTCCCACTTCTTTTTTCAGCAATGACTAACAGCAACTGACATAGCTGATAGAAGATTTTCTTAGGGTTAAAGGTCATGCTTCAAAATTAACATCTCTGAAGAATCCTAAGATCATTTAAACAAAAAACGTTGGCTGTTACTATGAAGTATCTTTTATAATCATCTTTCCTTTTTGGTTTTGAGACATGTATTAATAAAATTTAAGGAGATGCAAGGTGATCCTGATGATACATAATTTTCTTTCTGTCTTACTGCTATTTTATAGCTATTATTTTACATATGTTGGAAATGGAAAATCAAGTTCTGGAAAATTATTGCCTTATAACAGTCCTTATCACAGGGTAATACTATGACTAGGTAGCAAGCATGTCCTCTGCTGAATATGCATTAATGTTAACTTCTTAGCTAAGATAAAAAATATCTACCAAGATTAGGATACAACCATTTCAAAACTTTGCTTTAACACAGTTCTGGTGTTTTCTCCTTCATAATGATGGTAAAATAGATGGAATCAATTTTTGAAAAAAGAAAACACTATTTTACATTAAACTGCAAAATGGGGAGACTACTTCGGGAAAATTGTTTGCTGGTTTTGAAAGGTACATGAAGCTCATTGTGACTACTGGGTATAAATAAAAGCTAGGTCAAAAACCACAGATTTAGTCTTCACAGAATCATGGAATATGCTGAGTTGGAAGGGACACACAAGGATCATCAAGTCCAACCCTTAGCCCTGCAAAGGACTATCCCCAGGAGTCACACCATGTGCCTGAGAGTATCATCCAAATGCTTCTTGAACTCTGTCAGGCTTGGTGCTGTGACCACTGCCCTGGGGAGCCTCTTCCAGTGCCCAACCACCCTCTGGGTGAAGAACCTTTTCCTAATGTCCAACCTAGACCTCCCCTGACACAACTTCAGGCCATTCCCTTGGGTCCTGTCACTGGTCATCACAGAGAAGACATCAGTGTCTGCCCCTCCTCTTCCCCTCACGAGGAAGTTGTAACTGCAATGGCTTGTCACTTGGCTTTGGTTATATGTATGACTTAAACAAGTCTGTGACATCACACATCTTTTTCTGGTGACGGAACTGAGACTGTGTGTAGGTGACTGACTTGAGACAAGAGTAAACAGATGAGAATGGGGGTAAGGACCCAGCTTCCTCAACAATGTTGTTCATGCCTAATCCACAGAGAAGTATTCCAAGAACAGTGTTTCTGCAAGGCTGAAAGACCTACCAGTTGGATTTTGGGACTTTTAGGTCTTTCAGGATTCCAAAATATGTCTCATTTATTTAACACATGTCCCTGCATCTCCAAAATTCCACTCTGGGTAAAGTTTGAACTAATTAACCAGTAACAGTTATGAACTACATTCATATCCAAACCATATGTTATCCTTGTAGTTTATCTGTACTTGTTTCCTTTAAAAACATATATTTTGCATGTATATGGTTTTGGTTTTGCAACTTTTTTATGGTTTCCAAATATAGACAATAGTGCAGTTTGTTTCAAGGTGTTTTGAATAGAGTACCTGGCATGCTTCCAGCATTTTTCTAATGAGTCACTGACTGGCCTTTAAAAAATTTAATTTAAAGTATGAAGTGAGTATTTTGCAAAGCACTTAATGCAGCTTCAGTCTAGGACTGTAGCCTCTAGATATTGGGTGATATTTGTGATCTTTGCTCCTGGAGGAGAACAATTCTGTGAAATCACGTTACTCCTTCTTACAAAAAGTAAAGTTTCTTTTCAGCAATTCTAGTTTTAGGGAGAGGGGAGGAAAAAAAGTTGACAATAAGACTAAATTTTAGTTTAAAACTTCAGGAGACAGAAGATAGAGAAAATGCAGAAACATATTTTTTAAAAATGTAAGATTTTCAGACTAATCTCACTCCTGTTTTGTTGGTGTGGCTTGAGTGTTCAAGGATTAGCAGTACTATTACATTCACAATAATGAAAAGCTTCTTCCTCCAGGGACTTACTCAGTAGGGCCACTGCCTTGAAACTTGTGACAGGACCCAGAGGTGTTTTTCTCTGTTCTGGGGCTACAACGATTCATTTTAGTTATTGTGTATAAGGCAGACAAAAGTCTCATTTTTATTCACAGGAAAGCTCTGCAGTTTGGCTGGAGGGAAAAAGGCTACAAAAGAAGGTATCAAATTTTGCAGCCATTCCTGTAGTATTTTGGTGTTACTCCTTGAACCCAGCCTGAGGGAGCCATTAGAGCAATATTTTAGCAGCTGAAGAGGGGAAGGGGAAGAGTAAAGTTTCCACAGCACTCAATCTCCAGTAGCCATGGGACTTGTGCTCCATGTTAAAACACAGTTCCAAAATTGCTGTATTCAAACTTAGTAACACTTAAGATATATATATTTACATAACATTATGTAAGAAATTTCCAAGTAGTTTATTAAAAACCATGAGATATTCCTTATAATATTTTAACTGCCTATAAGATTTTTAATTAATAGTCCAATACATAAATTGCCTTCTTATAATGTTAATTTTTTCGAATATAGATTTTTAAATTAAGTAGATTAAAAAAAATAATCCTTTTTATTCCTCTATCCTCCACCTACCTCAATAATCAAAAGCTGATTTGTGTTATACGATGATGTAACATAAACCATAGCCTAAACAACATAGATAAAACTTATGTTGAAGGGAAAATATATATATAAAAAAGGTTTAAATGGAATGAATGCTAGTGTCAGACTATAGAAGACTACATTAGAAAATGATTTTTAAATACTGAAACAGTGGGACAATTATGAATTATCCCAACATAGCAGATGTTTGAACTCTTTTAAGTAATTCTTTTGTGTTTTGGTGATCATAGAGTAACAGAAAATTTAGATTTCAGCACAAATGGAAACAGTTTTTACATGACTTAGAGCTATCAAATGCCTGTGCTGCAGATTTTTTGTCTAAATGTGCTAAATTAATTGGTGTTTCATACCCAGCTACAGTGGAAGTCATATTTGCTAACATGCTTTTTGTCCATGCTCTTGTTCATTCCAATTAAAACTACCTACTGGTGACTCTTGTGTTACCAGCTTACACTCTCGAGTCTAGAACTACTTCACCTTTCTCTTCTCTCTCTAGCCTAAGCACAGACTTAGGGAGGAGTGTAGTCTTTGGGATCTCATTCTTCTCATAAAACACTCAAGTTACTTTTGCTGCTTTAGCTTCCACATTGTTCTTCTGAGTGGGAGATACTCAGACCTGATTTTTTTCCTGGGCTTGCTCACTGGTAACATTTCTCAAACATTCAGACATAAAAGGCAAATAGTGTTTGAAATATCGCCACAGTCTCCTAACAACCCTAAAGTTTATAGAGGGGTCAGACTTGTATGTTATATTAAAGTTGGGCTGAGCTGAAATTTTGAGAGCAGTTTATTTCCCCAAGCAGATTTTATTTTTTTATCTACTTAAGCCAAAGTGTCTTTTAGTTTAGTGTAATATGAAATGAGGAAAAAAAACTAGGTAGAACATTTTATATGAAGACACAGCTACTATGACTGGTAACAGTAAGAGTTGGACGTTAGCTCAAATCCCGAGCGGAAATGACCATGTGGGTGTTTTTCTCCCACGTGTTCTCCTCTCCATCAGGTTTGCTGTCAGTGTTGTCTGATGGCTGGCTTGTTAGTTCAGCAGTGGTTATCATTTTAATCTCTTTAAAATCAGCAACTGACAGAAATTGAAGCATTGGAGTCAAGCAAATGATAACACGTAAGTGCCAGAGACTGCCTTATGTGCCTCCCCACTGAATTCGTTATAACTTTTTCTTCTAGATCTGCCTTCCCACAGGAGAAAAAACCTCCCACCAGACCTTGATTCAGGCTTAAATTGTACATACATCTGGTACTGATGTCTGGTACATGACACTGATGCTGTCAGCTATACGACAGAACCTCCAGGTGGTTTCTCCTCAGAGAGCTACAACCAAAGTAGCCTGTTTCTGGTATGGTAGCACCTTGGGAATCACCACTACTGTTAGTGTTGAACCCCATTTTCCTAAATGATGAGTATGGGGACTCCTGCAAAGACTAGAGGAGCATTTGGGTTTACAGCTAATGCATGGGGATTACTGCATTCAGAAGGGACTTTCCCAGACTGCATGGAAAACCAGGAAAGAGACCTGGCATCAAGGAACGAAAAACACTGCAAGTAAGATTATCAGACGAACCTGCTTGTCCTTGCTGTATAATTGGATTATAGCAACTAAATCAGATTTTTGAAGGCATGGAGGAAGGCATCTTCCAATAGCACGCTCACAGTCTGTAAGAGAACTTTTGCAGAACTGGGAACAGATTCTGGGTCACTTCCAAAAAATCAGTGTTGGACTACAATAAGCAGACTGTTGGGTTGCAGCTGCCGAACACAACATGTGTGCTGCCCTGCATATGGTAAGGCTATATTCAGCTTTATTTCTCATGGAAATACCATGGATATTGGAATGGAAGCAGAAAACCCTTTTAATTTTTTTGGTACAGTAATTGTGAAAGGATTTTTTCCACCACAGCAGCTTTGTTTCCATGTCTCCCCCTTAGAAAAGTTTAACATCATTTGGAACTGTTTTCACTCGTAAAAAGGTAAACCCTGTGTAAGGATAGCCATTTATTGGAAGGCTGAGTAAGATGGCAGATGGTCTGCATGTATGATTTTGTTCCCCAGGTCTAGACACTGGGGAAAGGATCAAACTGTTGAAGAAATTGTCATAATAGAAACTGTATAAATACATACTACTAGCATACAGAGGTTTTCCATTTTATCTAACGAGGCCGGATGTGTTTGAGTGAATTACATCTGACAGGGAAATATTAAAGAGAGTCCTGTTGTTCCAAGCCTTTTTTAATCTCTGATGGCATGCTATCTTGGTGTGCTCCTGGCTTGGTGGTAAGTCTTTCTTGGGAGAAGGAACCAACTCTACCTCTCTGCAACCTCAGTTCAGGCAGCTGTAGAGAGCAGTAAGGTCCCTCTGAGCCTCCTTTTCTCCAGGCTAAACAAACCCAGCTCTCTCAGTGATTCCTCATGAGATCTGTGCACCAGACCCTTCACCAGCTTCATTGCCCTTCTTTGGACATGTTCCAGTAGCTCAGTATCTTTCTTGTAGTGAGGAGCCCAAAACTGGACACAAAAGATTCAAGATGAGGCCTCACAAGTACAGAGTACAGTGAGGGGATGATCACTGCCCTGCTGGCCATGTTATCTCTTATGCAGGCCTTCTTGGCCACCTGGGCACACTGCTGGCTCATGTTCACCTGTCAGTCAGCATCCCCAGGTCCTTTTCTGCCAGGTAGCTTTCCAACAACTCTTTCTCCAGCCTGTAGTGCTGCATGGGATTGTCATGATCCAAGTGCAGGACCTGGCATTTTGCCTTGTAGAACCTCATTGATGGTCTTGGCCTATCAATCCAGCCTGTCCAGATCCCTCTGTAGAGCCTTCCTATGTTCCCCCAGATCAAGACTCCCACCCAGTCAGTTTGGTGTTATCTCAAAATGACTGAGGGTGCACTTGATCCCCTCGTCCAGATCGTCAATAAAGATATTAAGTAGGACTGGCCCTTCACCCTCTGGGCCATACCATCTAGCCAGTTTTTTACATGGTGAACAGTGCACTTATCCAATCCATGAGCATCCAGTTTCTCCAAGAGAATGCTATGAGAAACAGAGTCAAAGGCTTTACTAACTTCCAGGTAGACAACATCCTCAGCCTGTCCCTCATTCACCAAGCAGGTAACCCTGTGACAGAAAGAGATAAGGTTGGCTGAGCAGGACTTGCCTTTTATAAACCCATGCTGGCCTGATCCCCCAGATGTCCTGTACATGTTACATGATGACACTCAAGATTATCTGTTTCATGACCTTCTCCAGCATCAAGGTCAGGCTGACAGGCCTGTGGTTCCCTGCATACTGCTTCTGGCCCATCTTGTAGATGGGTGTCATATTTGTCAACTTCCAGTCACCTGAGACCTACCTAGTTAGCAACAGTTGCTGGTAAATGATGGAAAGTGGCTTGTGAGTGCTCCTACCAGTTCCCCTGGTACCCTGGGGTGGATCCCATCCAGCCCTGTGAGCTCATGTGTGTCTAAGTGATGCAGCAGGTCACTGACCATTTCCCCTTGGATTATGGGGGCTTCATTCTGCTCCCTGTCCCTGTCTTCAGGCTCAAGGGGCTGAGTACCCTGAGATCAACTGGTTTTACTGTTAAAGGCTGAGGCAAAGAAGGCATTAAATTACCTCAACCCTCTCCTGATCCTATGTTTCTTCCATATCTAATGAAGAAAAGATGTCCTCTGAAATGTGAGGGTCTCTCAAAAAGCAGCACAGTGTGAATCCTTATTGTGTGCTGGTGCATCTGCTGTTGTATCTGAGTTTTGCTGTTTACCTTCTTTCATACCTCTGCAATGTAACAGCTTGTTCTGAGAATTTCTCTCCCTCCACTGTCAACATTTTTTGCCTCATCACATCTTATGCATAGTAGAGTTTAAAACCAAAATGTTTTCGTGTGATCAGGCCATCCTGATTGTCCTCCTTATTGTCTAAAGTCTTGCTCTGAAACCACCTCCAATTATGATCCATGTGTGCTACTGAAGCTGACACAAATGGTGTGACAAATATAAGTATTTTGAAGAAACTTGGCCCTGCAAGCGTCCTTTTGTGCACTTGGAATTAACAGATGCTTTAATATCCCTGTGTCATGCCCCTGCTTCTGTAATGTGCATACAATGATATCATTCACTTCATCACACAAAGATGATGTGAAAATGAATCACTTAATGTTTGTAATGCATTCAGATGTTGTGATGAGCACTGTAGAAAAACTCACAAGCAAATGAATAATTCATTGTTCAAATCAGGCTTTGAATAGTACATGGTAAACAAGACATTGGACTTCACAATTATAGTGAAAGTAAGGCCAAATAATTAATGATCACTTGTTCAATTACCTCTCTTCATTCAGACTATTGAAAGGAAATGGCATCTTATAGAAAGAGTGTTGTCATGTCCTAAGGGATTGTATGTTAGCGTATGATGAAAGAATAATAAAGATAAAATAATTATGATGTGTATTTTGGAACAATGATGAAGTGTGTTAGACTTCTGAAATTGCCTGATTTGAGTCTATATGTCTCCCTTTACAATGATTTAGTAGTAGTTGGGAATCCTAATCTCTTCTTTAATTCTGTTTTCATAGTTTTCTGCCACTCACTAAATCTTTTTGGACATTGGTACTTAAGCATCAAATGAAGGGTGTAACACCCTCCCTGGACACTGTGGAACAGTCTCTGGATATATTTTTTTAGTCTGGATTTTATATATTGATATGAAAGGGTCTTAAAAGAAGCTAATGGAAGAGGAGAGTTAAACTTTCTCCTGTGTACTGGCTGCAAAATAAGAATTTAGTTTTGATGGCATCTCAGGTTCTGGAATAGCTTGTTCCTGTGTTCAGCCTTGTGACCTTCCTTTGGATGATAGCTCTTTACATTTTGAGAGTGAAAAAGAAAACTGAGGGATGTATTTGCAGCTACACTGCACAAAAATATGTCAGTAATTCAGGCTGACTGACAGCTCCTCTAGTAACAGAAGTCACCTGCAATTTTTTATAGTCCTAGAGCATAAGCCATCCAAACATGTCCGAGAGACAGCCACAGCCCATGCTAATACAATGCTCAGTATGTTAAATAACAGTTCTGGCACAGCCGTATTTAAAAGCAAAACCAAATCATGTTTGAAAAGCAATTCTGTATTTGACATTTCTGGTACAATTTGATACAGCACCGGTACTTCATAATATGGGGCAAATTTTGAGGAAAAAGCCCTGCATAATAACTGAGTGATTGGAATAAAATACAGGATCAAATATAAAAGGATAAATCTGCATTTTAGGACTGTGGAGAAACACAAACCTAAAGTACATTGCAAGCTGAGAAATGTAATGAAAGGAGGAAACTTTCTTTCCTAGATTCCAAAGCTGGCAGTAAACACAACTTTAAAGTTTTTTACTATAGAGTATGCAGTCCTTTTTATTCTATATTGAGCAGAAAACTTGCAAAGGATGAACGTATCTTTCACGAAGATAGGCCAAATTCTTACACCTGAAGGCCGATACATCCAGGGAGTTCTGTGTGTAGTTTCGCTGGCCTTCTACAAGAGATGAGTTTTGGATGTTAACTGATATTTTCTTCCGTCCCTGTCAGCATTTTCTTAGAATTCTGCATAGTTTTTAATCTGAGATTATAGTGAATCCAATACTTCATCAACATCACAGCCAGAGGTGGATTTTAAAAGTTTGAAGGTATTGGAAACAACTTATGGTGAGACTTGAACCTTGGAGACAGAAGGTAGTGAATGTAGGTACCTGAAGTAGTGCGTGCGTCTTAATCTTCTGATGCCAATCAGGCCCTGAGTTAGAAACTACTGAGTTAGTTCCTTGCATTTTTTATGCGGAAATCTCAAAGCATGTTATAGCTAATGAATTACTCTTGTCTGCGATGTGAAAGATGTATGTAAGTTATCATGTGCTTATTTTAGGTCTGCACAAATGGAAATATAAATCAACTTGGCTTGCACTGCATGCAGAGCTAGTGTTAGGAAGAGAAACCAAAGATCTCCTTTCTGCTCTTGCTTGGCTGACCCAGGAGTGGGAGAAAGCTCATTCATGTGGGCAGAATTCTGCTTACTGTCAAAAGTACTTCTGGCTTTAGCTCAGTTCCCAAAGAAAACAAGACTACTTCTTACTTCCCCCCACCCCCTCCTCCCTACCCTCCCTCATCGCTTCACCCAATAACCTTTCATTTTCTTGGACAGTTGTGGGAGGTTTGGGTAGGGCTGGAAGCAGTAAAATTGTTATGAAATAAGGGACTGGCTAGAAAAGGAAGATAAATTAGTCCTTTCTGAGAGATGTGTGAGCCTACCAGGTCTCTACTCTGTTTGGCCTGAGAGCTTGGCTGAACCTCTT